CCTAAAGACCATTTGCTCAGTCAGAGAGTCAGTCAGTTACAATCAGTCAATCAGTTAAATTTGGTCAGTCACAATCAGCCAGTCCTTGAGTCATTTAGTCAGTTAGCAGTCAGCCATGAATAAGTCTGTTAGAGAGTACACAAGTCATGCACATCCATTATTTGTGAGTCAATCAGCCAATTCTATATATCAGCCAATCAATCAGTAATTTGGTCAGTCAGACAGACAGACTGAAATTCATCACAGCTGTGCCAGGATTCAGCGAGTCAGTCAGACAGAACATCATGTGCATGCAGTAATTGAATCAGTCACTTGGTCATTCATTCATTTAGTCAAGAAATAGCCGATTTGCAAATTTCATTCCTATGTCAAACATAAAAGAAACAAAACGAGGCGCCTTCATTAAAGCTCAGTCAATCGTGAAAAACTATTGTCTTTCCACAGATGACTGAGATTTATGCACAGCGCTTCGTCTTGATTCTTTTGTGTGTGACTACCGAGGCAAAATTCACAAGTCGGCTATCAGTTTGTTATTCAAATGAACAGTAAGTCAGTAGCCATTACAATACAATGGTTGATGTGTGAGGTGTAGGATATTACAATACAATGGTTGATGTGTGAGGTGTAGGATATTACAATACAATGGTTGATGTGTGAGGTGTAGGGTAGTAACCTTTTGTGCTGATATTAAAGTCCTCTCTGAAGATTCTCCAATCTCTTTCTGTCATTTCATCAAGCTTTTTCTTGGACCAATGTCTATCATCATGWGCAGCTTTCTTCTCCTTTGCTTTGACTTTGAGAATACGAGAACTAAAGCACAAAAAGCCAAGAATTAAGATTATTGTAATGTTATTTGACTTTAACCTTATGCAACTCTTCCTACATGATTCTCATTGGATGTTACAAAATAATAAAGCAAATGCAGGAAAACCATGAAATAAAATCAAACTAAATGCTAACAAATAGTGGCTTTTAGAGGCAAATCAATATCAGYATCAGTATGAGTAAACCAGAACACAATGTTCAGAGGAATTAAAAAATGGTCYCATGTGAATTAATCTTTCATTATTCATTATTTTCTTGTTCATTAACAAATTGTCTCTAAATRGMYGCTATTTGTTAGTATTTGGTTTKRWTTTTTTWATGTTTTTCCTWCGTTTGCTCTAATACTAACCTTTCTTGTTCTTTTTCTTCAATTGTTCGTCTTTTTTCCATCATTTCCTGGTAAAACTTACCAGCATCTTTCTTTTGACTCTGATTAAAATAAAATATATTATTATATAATATCATTAACATTCTGTCATTTAAAACAAAAATGCAATCAGAAAGTGGAAAATTTTGTTGTCTACTTTGCCCTTTATAGTATCATATCTTGATTTTACATATCATATCCTGAGATTAACCTATCACAATTGACTACATTGTATAGTGTCATATGATTTTTGGCTGAGATATCATATCTGTCTGTTGTCCAATCAACAGCAAGCTATTCAATTGAYTTTAGTCATGTGGTTTTATGCAACAGGGAAATAGGATCAAAGTTTTGTTCTATAATTGGGTGATAATTTTAACTTAAACAATATTACAGTCAAAGCGATGCTTGTTTTAGTAATGCCTTTTACTTGGAAGCTCACTTCATTATTCTATTAGTTACAAATTCATTTTCAACTTGAAATGCATGATAAACTTTCGCTTCCGTGRTTCTTTTTTGTGTTAAGTTATAATATCCAAATATTTTCCAATCTTGTGCCTTCTATTTTTAGAAGCAGTTATTATATCCCTCAAATAGCCTTATCAGAGAAATTATCAAATCCAAAACACGTTGRATTAAACAAATTGAACTCCTAAATAACAAATGCTGCTAAGATATTTTTCAATACCACTGTTTCTAATGAAAACTGTTTGTTAAAATACACCTCGTGTTGTGTTGTGTGACCTGGGTTTCTCATTGATCTTGTATAACAGATTCCCTTATAGAAATCAAATTCATAGTATTCCGTGCAGTACTCCATAGTTATTGGTTGGAAGTAGGATATCATATTTAACTGACATGTGAATAATAGCCTCAGTATGATATGCAAAATCCAGAYATGATATCACTAAGGTCAAAGTAAACAACAAAATTTGCCACTTTCTGRTGGCATTTYYCAGTTTTAAATGGCAGAATGTTCCATTATAATGTGAATCCATAAATCCAATCTACAAAATTAATAAGCATTGTTCTTTAGTTTTGAAGCACATGTTTAAGTAATTGTAATAAATATGTTCCATTCTTCTATTAATGATGATGATGATGATGATAACATCTTTGATGACTTCAATAATTATATTAATTTATTAAATACAGAGGTACTCTATTAAGTGTTCATTGTCTTACTTATGCATTTAGGTGCCCACTATAAATTTTAGCCCCAAATTCTCTATTTATCCCATATCAACCCTCCATTCAGAGGCCAACCTCAATCAAGTAACCACTTCTGAATGACTGCTTAATAGAGTAATACTGACTGTTATTAACTTTCTTATTTTTTGAACAATCAAGTAAATGATTTTCATACTTTAATATCAATTCCACCAATATGTCCTCTGCCAAACATTTGAATGCCATGTCTGTCCTTGTAACTGCAGAAGAAAAACAAATAGTTTGTGTGTAAAAGAAACAGTTCAATGAGATTAGTGATTTTTCACTGTCTAAAAAGAATAGGTGCATTACATGTAACMGTTAGTACACTTCACATTCCCTATCGACCAGTGTACAAAAGAAGGCCGCAACCAGCAATTTATTCTGGATACTTCTGAATAAAAAGTACACTTTTATATACTATCATCAGTGCATCAAGCACTGTTCATTCTCTTTGTTTTAATGCAAAAGAAGAAAAAAAACAAAAACAAAACAAAACAAAAAACACATTCATTTCGACATATGTAGTAGCTATGGGTACTACAACGGGCTTCCTGTTACATTTTTATTAAAACTGTCTATCTTGAATTTTATTGAAAGGTCTGATACCGTATAATACTTACATTGGGTTATAGTCAACTGATGTGTCTTCTAAAGCATCCCAGTCAAAAACRAATTTCCTGTCACTCAATTTACGGACTTTTCTCCTCTTTTTGTTTAATCCAAGATACCTTTCCTGTAGAAACAAGTAATAAACTTAAATGTGCACAATGATYCTGACTGCATAAAGTTGTGTTTTCTTTAAAAAATMAAGTGCTATGCACAGAGCCWTCAACCCAGGGAAWTTTTATACATTGAGATTGATAAATCCATGGTCACTTCTTTTTTATTATTTRAAGAGTGCCAAACAAACAAAAAGGTCACAGACCACCAATATTTTACATCATAGAGAATAAAATTTATAAACTTGCAAAATAATTTAGGCCTAGATATTTGATGAGATTGCAATAAAATTTATCTAATATCATTTTTTATTGAATGATTCAATTTAGGTATAACTATCATTATTTTTAACCTTGATTGCTTCAAGCTCTTTTTCCAAAAACTTTTCTTTCCTTGCTTTGTCTCTCATTTCCTCTTCCTGAAGGATATAATTAAATTAGGGGAAAAGAAATAAATAGTTCAAAAAAAGTTTCTTGCTTACTAACCCCTTCTTGTTCTGCTTTTTCCCTTCGTTCTCTCCTTTCCCTTCTTTCTCTTTCCTTGTCATCCTCTGCAAGTAAAGTGAAATATTATTCAAAATCATAAYAAACATAAAATAAAACATCTAAATAACATTTCTCTAAACATTAACATTTAATGCTTCACAGCTTATTTGGGGTCACTTATATATTTTGAATTTATGAAATAATGCAGGATAACTAAGACTAATAAAAAAAGACAACACAACAATTGGAATAAAAGTAAAAGCAACAGTCTGTCTACCTTAAAGCAAGACCAAATAATAAAAGCAAATAAAAACGGACTTTGTGACTTAAACCTCTCTTTATTATWACAAAAGAGGCAAAACGTCAGTTACCTTTTGAATGTTGAGCTTCTCTGAGAAAGAATTCTCTTTTTTGCCTTTCCTCCTGTAGGACAGTAGCATAAAAACAAGATAAATGAYTTAAAGAAGAAAGTGTGTGAGTAGTTTAATGAAAATGGATAATACATTGTACTTCTTTGAATGAGCTAAGTTATTTACAAGGTCTTTTTCTTCTGMGAAGAATGATAAACTTATAGGAAGTAAATTTTAACAATAAATGTTCAATGATGAATTGACCTCCATTTTCTTCTTTTGCTCTTCAACCTGAGCTTGTCGTCTCTTCAGTGCTTCCTGGGCTCTCTGCTCTTTTGTTAAAAATGTTGGCTAAAGATTCACAATGAGAAAAAAACAGTCACTAGAGGTTTTGAATTATGAATCATTTRACAATTAATTTWAGAAGGTYGACAAGTTTTGTTAACCTTCTCTTGGGCCTTCTTCTCTGCTTCACGCTTTGCTATCATTTCCTCTAATGACAAAGGCTAAAAAGAACAGGGAATTCATCATATTGAGTATTGGTGTAGGTTTATTAATATAATACAGGGACAAATCCAGAGAGCTGTCATAGTTGCACATGTAATTTAGCAGCAATATCATGCTAGATATATAATATAATAAATTTTATTACAGTCATTGCAAAGAAATACGACTATATTACAAATGTAAATATATATAATATATGATAAACTCTAAAATATGTACATTATGCTCAGAAATATGAAAATCGTTTACAAAATCAGTACAGCAAAAAAGATTCTTATAAGCATTTGCAACCCCGGACTAAAAAAAAGATATGACTTTTATTGGCTAGTAAACTGATCTAATTTAATATTAACAATATGATGTGCTTAGAGCACATTTATAAAACCCAATGTGCTTATATATCATTTTGTATCATAGAAAAGTTTGAAACTAGTCCAGCTTAAAGTTCAAAATAGTGCTTCCTCTGCCCCCTGTTACATTAAAAGTAAAGTCTTATTAAACTAATGAAAAAAAGCAAAACAACATAAAGTCAGTTGACTCTATCTACTGGTACAAATGTAGTTACTAACTCTGCTTTGACTGATATTTCTGTTAATAATAATTAACACTCACTTCAACTTTGGGCTTCTTCTGTTCTTCCTCTTCTTCTTCACTATGTTTGATAATTACAAAAATAATTATTGAAATAAAAATAACATGTAGCAAATTATAACATAAAATGAGGAGGAAAAAATTCAGTATTGAATATTTTAGAGTTCAAAAGTATTTTACAAAAGAGGCTTCACAGCCAAAGTTTTTTGCATTTAGTCAAATATATTAAACTGAAAAGTCAAATGTGAAGGTAATTTTCTCCACTTTAAGAACTGCATCATTAAAATTTAAATAAATTTTACAATATAAATTATTTCTGACCTTTTTCTACCATCCCTTGATTTATGAGGTGATCTTGATCTAGAAAACATAAGACAGTTTATTTACACAACCTTTGATAGAGATACTCATTTTCCAAGTTGACATTGAATATCAAATATACAGTACGAGGTGACGGTTTCAGGCGCCATCTTGTCCGGTATCGCAAAATAACAAGGATAGACCGGGAAATCGATGTCAAATAATTCTTGCTGAATTCAAATTGCAAACGTAATAAATTAATCAAATTAAAAAATAGCAGTTAACTAAGTTAACAACGCAGTTTACAGGATAGTGAGTGACTGACTTAGTGAGTGACATATGTATCATTTCCCTACAATAACTCTTCGATTGCAATCTCCGAGTTAAAAATGAGTTTACTCGCTCTCTAGATCAAGTACGCCTTTCAAATTTGGCCAGTTAACTCCTTTTTACAGTACCTAATGTTTGCAATAGTCTCCTTCACTGTTACCTGTGCCATCTTGAAAGGTAGCCATGCCTTTGCATCGAAGCGAGACAACCGTTGAGCATGCAATGATAAAAACCTTCTTTCACGCCTACAGACAATTATTCACAGGTTTCTATCATTGCACGCTCAATGGTTGTCTCGCTTCAGCAGGAATTATTTGACATCGATTTCCCAATCTATCCCACACCTAAAACTTTGATTTTCAATACCCAGACTATGACAACTAATGCTATTGCAACCCTATGCAAGATGAAAAACCATTACCTATCCCAGATAAAATATGATCTTGKTAGAACAACTAGTTCTAACATGTTTGGGCTTCCTGTGTTACAACATGAAAACGTCAACAACACGTTTTTGAAACACTTGTGTTTGTGACTAATTAGTTACAAGTAAAACCTAGATTTATAAGCTTCAAACCTTGATCTTCGTGAGCGATGTTTGCGGTCTTTAGACCTATCTCTCTTTCTGTCTCTTCGTTTGTCATCTCTATGTCTTTCTCGGTCTCTCCTTCGCTCTCTTGAGCGGTCTCTCTCTCTTTTATGTCTATCACGTCTGTCTCTGTCCTTATCCCTTTCTCTGTGCTTCGACCTGTCTTGGTCTATTTCCTTAGAAGGGGAGCTACGCTCTTCTTCAGTTCCCATTGAGAAAGAAACGAAATTTATCGAGATCGACTGAG